CTCCTTCTTGTATACAAGGTTGGGTAGACCTTCAACAATGTGATCTCTTGCTAGCTTGTTGATTGTTTTGAAATTCAAGTGACTCAGTTTCTTGTGCCATTCCCAACTGAGTTTTGAATCTCCTTTGGCTATCAGGCAAATTCCATCTTTTGCAGTTGACCAATCAACTACGTAGATGTTTTTCTTCCTTGTTGCTGTTAGAACCACTTCTTTAGTTGTCTCATGCTTAACAGAACAGTCTTCCTTGGAAAATTCGACTGTGTAGCCTTTGTCACAGAATTGGCTAGCACTAAGCAAGTTGAATTTCAGTCCTTTGACATAAGAGACATCATCAATGATTATCTGGTTCTTTATCAGCTTCCCTCTTCCTTTTGTCTGGCCATCTTTATCATTACCTCCAAAGGTAACTCTGGGTCCTTTGACTTTCTGGAACTCTGTTAGGCAACTCTTGTCACCTGTCATGTGTCTGGAGCATCCACTATCAATGTACCAATCTTGCTCAGAGATGGCTCCAGCACACAGTTCCTACAGAATTAAAAGGAAGATTTAGGTACCCAAGCAATGTTGGGTCCTAGGGGGTCATGCAGTCTTGGCAGCCGGTACCACTTTGGTCTCATCAAGTGAAACCTTGGTGGGTGGTACCCATTGTCCACCTGGTAGTCATAGTAAACGGAAGTGTGATTCACTTTGGGCAGATGCTTGTGAGGATCATGCTTCCGGTTTACATACTTCTGCATAGCCTTTTTGGTTGGGTAGAAGTCCCATATACTATCAAGAGCAGAGGGGCGATTAACTTTGGGCTTCTTAAGTTGACCAGCCAACCTTTTCTGCCTAAAGTTAACTTTCTCTTGATATCTGCCTTTCTGGTGATCATCTCTGACACGGTTATCATGAGTTTGTCTGTTATGGGTTTGTCTTTGATTTTTGGTGTTCTGAAAACCTTTTCTGTTGTTAGGTTTTCTGCCAGGTTCATTAATTTTTAAAATGGGTTTCTGTTGAACCTTTATCTTTTCCTTTTCTGGTCTGACTTTCTCATGAATAACCTTGGTGCCAGATACACCAGCATGACAAATGGGGCTAGAAATCAGTGGCACTATGACCTTGTCTGCCTTAGCAACTCTGGTGCTAGGCATTACAGAAGGCTCACCTGATTCTGTTGAGCCATAACCAAGACCAAAACCAGTGCCAATTTGTTGATCAAGTACAATCTTTTCCATGGAAGACTGGGCCTTCTGGTAAGCTTTGTATTTAATCTCAAGGGGCTCTATTTCTCTTATTCTCTTTAGAAGAGAAACATTTTCAGCTTCCAGCTGATCTCTTTCCTTAATTAGAAGATTGATTTTGATCTCAACCTCCTTTCTTAAGTCAAGAATTTCAACCTTAAGCTTACTGTTTTCTTCCTTAACAGAGGAATAAGTGGTTTGAATGGCTTGAAACTCTTCCCAAAATTCTGACATTGAATCAGAATCAAAGGCTCTGCCTACCGAAGAAAAACTAGAGTTAGAAGTAGAGGATACCTCATCATCGGATTGACCCATAAGACATAGGTCTTCAGTCTCTGTATCCAGGCAATAGAATGCCTCATCGGATTCTGATTCTGAGCTGGACTCTGTCTCAGAGAGGGGGTCCTTCTCTGGTTGTTCAGTGATGAGTGCCTTCCTTCTTCGGTGCTCATATTTCTATTCTCCTTCCTGGCCTTGCCTTTTGGAGACTATGGGGTGTGGACAGTTGGCTTTGAAATGCCCTGGTTGTCTGCAGTTGTAGCAGAGAAGCTCTCCACTACTCTCTGATGATTTGGACTTCTGGTGTGGCTTTCTGCTAGAGAGTGGACTTCTGCTATCCTTTGGCTTCAAGAATTTCCTGAACTTCCTAGCAAAAGCCGCCATATATTCGTCAGTTAAAAGAATAGAAGGGTCAAAGTTATTTACCTGAGAGGTGCTGGCTGTGAGGGCAGTAGTTGTTCTGTCCTCAACTTCTTCTTTCTCTTCTTCATTCATCTCAAACTCATAAGATTTGAGATCAGAGATGAGTTTCTCAGTGCTGTAGGTTCTGAGATCCTTGCTATCTCTCATGACAGTGACCTTCATTTTCCATGGTGAAGGTAAACCTCTGAGAACCTTCAAGTTGATCTCCTTGGGAGTAAGTTCCTTCCCAAGTTTTGATATCTCAGAAGTGAGGGTGAGCAAGCGTGCATACATCTCAGCTATGCACTCTTTGGGTAGAAGTTTGAAATCATCAAACTTCTTCATGGCAATGGTAAGTTTGTTGTCTTTTTCTTGCTCATCTCCAGCTCCTATCAGGGTAAGTGTATCCCAGATTTCCTTGGCAGATTTGCACTTCTTGATCCTTGTGAAGTACTTGTCATCTATGGCTTTGTAGAGGATATCCTTGGCAATGTTGTCAAGGTTGTATTTCCTCCTTTCCTCATTGGACCATTCATGACGCAGTTTGGTGATCATCTGGGGTTGACCACCACCAGTGATGTATTCAGGGTTGACCTTGGTGAACTCTGTGAAAGGACCTGCATCGAGAACTTCCCACATTTCATCATGGAGTGCGCAGAGGTGAGCTTTCATGCGAATCCTCCAGTCATCAAACTTTGTCACTGAGAACATAAGATTCTTTGAAAGAGTGTTATCCATAATATGAGATTAAAGAGGCTAAAACAAGTGGATCTCTTGTTTAGTAAGTAACCTAAAAGATTACAAGAACAAGGAGGCTCTGATACCACTTGTTGGTCCCGTTTGTACTGGGAACAGTCTAGAGGGGGGGGGGGGGGGTGAATAGACTGTTCAGGAAATTAAACTTTTCTCTAAGTCAAAACTGACTTAACAGAGATGGTCGAAATCTGGTGAAAGAGATGGTCAGGTTCTGATGGCAGAACTAGACCATGCAGCGGATAAGTTTCTGTTCGGGTAGCCTCAAGAAAAATGCTAAGGCTAAGTGCCTTTTTGATAACTCTGAAAGAAGATCTGCTGGACACAGAGTCCAACCTTAAGAGTTGATCAGTAGAATCTTAAGTGCGGGAATTAAAAGCTTAAAGTAAATGACACCGGGGTTTTTATAGTGGCTCAAGGAACAACTTGTTCCTCTAGTCTACTGTTCCACTAAGCTTGCAAAAACAACAGTTTACAACGCCTTAGTCCCTAGAACTTAAGAAGCACTCCTCGTCTTCTTCAAGACTAGTTGCCACCCGGGATGCAGTCCTGCTTCCTGATGGCTGGTCTCGTTTCACTGAGTCTCTTGAAGTATCCCCACTTCACTTACTCCAGCTAGTTTGAGACGTCCCTTCTTTTTCAAGAAGTGTTTGATTCAAAATCAGTTTTCTCCAACGTTGCTTCTTCACAAAGGATGAGTAGATCAGGTTTTCGAAGTGTTGAAGAACTGAGTAACTTTGCAACTTGCTAGTTGGATGAGGGATTAGAAAAATATATCTTCCAACTATAGCCTTTTCTTGTTAAGAATGAAGTTTGAATCTCAAGAAGGCTTTGAGGTATTTGAGTTGAATAATCTGAGCAAGTTCGTCTGGCAGATGTTGTAGCAAAGTTATTCTCGTAGTTCTTCAGAGTGTATCTTATATACTGGGAGCAGTCTTCCCGTTGGAGTGTAGAAGACAGCTTCATTAAATGCTTGTACTATTGACTTGACCGGTTGGACCTTCGACTTTCTATTTTGGGGGCGTGAAGATACTCGCATGGTCAATCATCAGCTTTAAATATCTCTTCGTACGTACAGCATTAAATGTGCATTTAATGTGTGTACAGTACCATGTTTCCGTTGAAAGGTTCGCAACCGTTAGGGGATTTCCCGTTAGTTTAACGACCGTTGGTCAGTGCTTTCGGAATCTGGTGTGCTAGACAGAGTCTTATGAGGCTCTCTGGTTCAATCTTTGAAGTCCGCCTCTGTTGCCAACTCTGGTATCAACACTGATGACCAGTTTCTGATGGCTTCTCTGGTGAGCAACTCTGGGAGCAACTCTGGTAGAAGCAAGGTGGATCTCTGGCAAGCAGACTAAGCTAAAACTTACAAAAGAAATTCTAATACAAAATTTCTAACGGGGTACTTTCAAATTCTTATTAACCTAGCATCATCAAAATTTAAATACATTTATTCCTTACAGATATCATGCTAAATCACTTTACTTCCCATTTAGTGTTTTACTGATCAATGATACTCAATCAAATTTAAAACCCTTATGTTCTTAATATTATACTACCTCCATCCCAATTTACTTAGTCATCTTTGACTTTTCCAGTCAAAGGTGGTAAACTTTGACCAAATATATAAACTAATATATTTATGCAAAATTTAATAGTTTTATAGTTTTATGATAGTATTTCTAACAAAGAACATTTTCATATCATTTTCATATTATTAATACGTTCTCTATATAAACATATAATCATTCAAATTTAGACATGATTTACTTGAAACGTCGAGTTTGGCTAACTAAAATGGGATGGATGGAGTATATAATATACTATCTTACTTCTATTATTTCTATATATACGTCATGTTACTACCATTATTATTATACATATTTCCATTATTCAATATTAGTCACTATTAACATATAAATACATACTACACATTATATTGCCATTTTACACATTTATTGTCGTCTTACATACTTCCTCCGTTCTTAAATAAATGTAACGGTCAACATTTCACACTTGCCGAGACACAACTTTGACCATTAATATAAATGATTTTGTATTAGTAAAAAATTTAAAAAAATTAGATTATGAAAACTTACAATGAGACAAGTTTAACAATATTTTTTTCATAAAATAATATTATAACATTAATAAATAAAACGTAGTCAAAGTAGAACATGTCAATAGTGTAAAAGTCAAAGTGTTGCATTTATTTAAGAACGGAGATCGTATTTACTTTCATTTTTGTGTTTACTGCCCATTCCATTCTAATCGATTAGAAGGATTAACTGATGAATATAGAATAATACATTCATTATAGGGATCTTTATTATATGCTACATACCTTGTCAATGGTGACCACTTCTCTTTCATTTACATCTAGTCCACTGGCCTATATCAGGAACGTTTGAATAATCAATTACCCAATACACATTTTCAATATAACAACTTAGTGACACAGTTATTGTAAAAACAAAATACCTTTTCACTATCTTTTTCACTTCCTTGTGGAATCTTGTCATTGCCCATGAATTGCGCAAAAATTATATCAACCTCAGCACATAGCTGTTGTGTATCCAGCACTCCAATTTCTTCATTGCTCTGAAAATCATGCTGCTATTCTTGCTCTGTCATATGAGACCTCATATTTTTTTTCAATCAAATCCACCTCCATTACCAGTTGTTGCGTATTCATTCTTCCATCAATGTCCTTGAACATGTCATTCTGTGTCAATTCGACATCATCTTCAACCATCGCATCAACCACGTCTTCTCTCTCAGAACCAAGTTCATTACCATCTTGCTCATTGTCCTCTACCACGTCTTCATTAAAATCCAATTACAAGTCAAAACTCGGCATTGCTTCCTTATCTTTCTTCTCGGCTTTCCTGGACACTTTCTTCATCCTGTTAATCTTCCACATTCTGCCTCTACTCGCTAAAGCTTTCTTCAACATGCTAAATTGCTTCATTTGCAACTCACACAGCTTTTCCACCTTCAATTCTAGTCTTTTTATTCTTTTTCATTACAAAGCGACTGTTGCCATTATATTGTGTATCATTTTAATTCCTTCTCATCAATGGTACTTGTCTTTTTAATATTTCCACTCGCTCTTCTTGCAGTCACCTTATTCTTTACACCTTTAGTACCACTCTTTACTGTCTTGTGTAGCACTTTCCTGGGACCCCTTCTTCAAAATCATTACTTTCACTTCCATCCTTAACATCGATTTCATTACCATCAATTGTGCATGTTTTACTCACCAAGTCCATCTTCATCTCTGTATGAGTGAGCTTAATTTCTTCCTATTCTACCTACAAACATAACGTTAAAACATTACTATACTACATTAAAAAAATACAATTCATACATTGAAGCTTTTTACATATTGCACTTGCTCATTTTTAAATATCACATCATCAAGTATTTTGTGTGAAGGCTTAGCAGGACCTGACAATTGCACTGTCCTAGGCCACAACTTTGATCCTGCCCTCCTCACACACACTTTTGATTTTTCAAGCCCTAGAAATGTCTCATATGCCCAGATTTGCAACACAAATAGATATCCTGAAAAAGTAAATCTTACACTCGGCTCTTGGTAAAGAACACTTGCACACTTCCTTACCTTTTTTTGTAAATCATCCCATACAACATCCTCCATGGATATGTATTGAACTTGTTGATATTATATGCCAAATGGATGTACATAGCTAGGAGTTTTGTTGATGTTTGATTTCCCAGAATATAGCTACCAAGGACATGCAATAATCAAAGCTTCATCCCATCCATTTCTCATTTTGAGAATATAAAATCTATAGTCTTATGTTTACATTATACAATTATTTACTTCAATCTATGACATTAAATGGCTCGTCACTAAAAAGCAGTCTCTTACCATCTCTAAGGTTTGAAGGTTCCGCTGCTTATGCTTCGGCATATGTTTGGTTAGGGTGATTTTTTCTAGATTTCGTTTCTCTTTTGGATTGATAAGTCGATACCAGGCTTGTCTCTGCTCTTGGAGTGGGTTTTCCATCTGTTTGGAATTATGGTTTGCATCGGACAATTGGATGGGGATCAGGGCGTCAATTACATGGCGGCTATATCAAGCGAAGGCACCTGGGGAAGAGATCCGGTGAGGACGGGGGGCAAATTCTGGCAAGGCACAATCCAATCCAAGTAGGGGGCATTTTGGGCGGTCGGTCTCTTCAGGAGGGCTTCAAGGGGGAGACCCCTGTTCCTCGATACTAGAGGCTTAAGTATGGCTTGACTGGGGTAGCAATAGTTTGCAGGGAACAATTCTTGCGGCGGCTTGGGGAGATCTTCAAAAAAAATGGAAGCCAAGTGATAAGGGGGCCAGTAGGGGAACAAAACCGTACACTGGTAGGGGAGGAAGAGATAGGAGTGAGTGGCGACGGCAAAACCGTCAAGTAAACTGATGGAGGTTGAATCTAATGGAGGAAAAATGGGGTTGGGGCGAGTTCTGGAAAGAGGTAAGGACCAGTTTCGTTCTCGAAGTTGCATAAAAGGGGTCAAATAAGTCCTTATAACATCCTTACTGTCTGAGAGTCGTCATTTGGGGCGGTTCCCAGTGGAGTTTTTTGATAATTTTTTTGAGCTTCTTATTCATTAAGTCTAGTTTATTCATACCAAATTTCAGCCAAAACTTAAATCGGCAAGGCATTCAAATGAAGTCTTGAAGATAACTGCGCATTTAAAAGCGCAGTTATCTTCAAGACTTCATTTGAATGTCTTCCCGATTTAAGTTTTTGGCTGAAATTTGGTATGAGTAAACTAGACTTAATGAATAAGATGCCCAAAAAATTTCATCAAAAAATTCCACCAGGAACTTCCCCAAATGGCGACGGCCGGACAGTAAAGACGTTATAAGGACTTATTTGACCCCTTTTATGCAACTTCGAGTACCAAACTAACCCTTACCTCGTTCTGGAAAATAGACTCGCCCAGAAAGCTGAGGTTGAATAGTTTAAGTTTCTGGTTTTGTTTCTTTCATGTTTTTGCCTCTTTCATGTTTCATTTTTATTCTAAACTTCTTGTTATTTTGGTTGTGTTGTGCTTTTCCAGCAAAAGAATTCTAGAACTTACATATGATGAGAAGTCTGGTTTGCGTGTCATTGGCTTAGTAAGCCCATTACAGGATCAACGAATCTAAATGTTTCTACGGAGAAAATATTATCTAAGTCTAATTCGAGGACGGACGACAAACAAAAGACTTTTTGTGTTTTTGTATCCTGCTTACGTTCCGTTATTTTAATACTTCCTCTGGTTCTTAATTAACTTGACATTTTGACTTTACACATATTAAGAAAATAAACTTACTGAGGGATAAATTTTACTGTATAGTACACTGTTGACATTGTTCGACACTGTTTTGATGTAGATTTGTTTGCAAATAACGAAGTGTAAACTTGATTGAGACATTCAAAAAGAGAAAGTGTAAACTTAAATAAGAAACGAGGAGAGTATAAGCCACCTTCGTTAAAAAAATATTTTACTTCAATCTGATTTTTTTTTCTTATTATTTTGATTTCATATCGTTGGAAAAAAGAGGAATGAACAGTCCATAAAATATGCCAAACTATGTTTAGACAAATATTCGGAATTTAATTTAGTACGGGATCGCAATAATAACTGGCAGTATAGGTGCTCACCATCTTCACACTTTCTCCAATTATTTAAATACCAGTCTCCCGTCTCCTTCCCCCATAATCTGCCATTTCCAGAGAGAAAGAGAGAGCGAAGGTGATAATGGCGAAGAACGCTTCCTCTTTCTCTAGCTTCAAGTCCTACATGGCAGCACTGGCCGACACGCCGCACCGCCTGGCCCGCCGAGCCATCTCTACATCAACTCCGTTGGAGGAGACCTGCGGCGTTCGCGCTCGTTCAGGCCGTGACATGAAGAGGAGCCTCCGGTGGTACGACCTCGTCGGATTTGGCCTCGGCGGCATGGTCGGTGCCGGAGTCTTCGTCACCACCGGCCGCGCCAGTCACGTCTATGCCGGCCCTGCCGTTATCCTGTCCTACGCCATTGCCGGTCTTTGCGCGCTACTCTCCGCCTTCTGCTACACCGAGTTTGCCGTCGAGATGCCAGTCGCCGGCGGCGCATTTAGCTATATCCGCACCACATTCGGTTATTATCCAATCTTCAATCTCTCAATTTCTTAAGAACAACTCCACAAACTTACACTAACTCGATCGAATCAATTGCAGGAGAGTTCCCTGCGTTTATCACCGGAGCTAACCTAATAATCGATTACGTTCTCTCTAACGCCGCAGTGTCCAGGAGTTTCACATCGTATTTATGCACAGCCGTCGGTATATCATCCGACACAAGGCTGAGAATCGCCGTCTCGGCGCTTCCGAGCGGTTACAACGAGATAGATTTTGTTGCAGTGGCGGTGGTGTTAATCCTCACCGTAGTCATCTGCTATAGGTTCATCCTAAACACATTTCATTTTATTCTACTGATTAGTGATTATAATGCTGAAATTTAAAATTAATTTAATATCTTCATCTCTGATCGGAAGTTCCTTCTTCCCGGTGCAGTACAAGAGGAAGTTCCATGTTGAACATGACGTTAACTGCTCTGCACATCCTGTTCATAGTGTTCCTGATTGTGATGGGGTTCACCAAGGGCGACCCGAAAAACTTGACCCACCCGGCAGATCCGAAACTGGCGGGCGGTTTTTCCCCGTTCGGTGCTTCGGGGGTTGTGAGTGGGGCTGCGATGGTGTACCTGAGCTACATCGGATATGATGCAGTGTCAACGATGGCGGAGGAGGTGAGGAATCCGGTGAAGGATATCCCGATCGGAGTATCAGGATCGGTTATGCTTGTGACCGTCCTTTATTGCCTCATGGCAGCTTCAATGTCCATGCTTCTCCCATATGATAAGGTAATAATTTCCGTTCTATAATAAATTAAAATGAAAAAACCAAAAAATCAATCCACTCCGTATTTGAGTACCAGATTCCATTGAAGTAGGTAACCGCGTTGGAAATGGATAAGATCTCTGTGAATTTACGCCTTTCCCCTTTTCAATACGGAGTACTGCGTATTATTCATAATTCATCGCAAAAGGAAATACTACGTACTACGGACTATGATGGCGTCTGACAAATTCGCTCCCGCGTTTAGACGGCGCCACGAATTACGTTATGACATAATTACAATTTTTAATCGAGTCTATTTTAATTTTATGCTGACTTGTTATAATAATGATTTTTAAATGCATCAGGTAGCTGTTCGTTGTTAGATTAATTAATTAAATCCACGATCTGTTTTTATGTTCTTACTTTTTTATTGGATTCAGTTTAGTGGTTTAAAAAACGAGTTTGAAAGTAATTTGGAAACTGTGTGATTTTAACAGTAGAGTGCGTTTCATTAATTAAGAGAAAATTTGGGAAAAGCTAGAGTCCGATCCGAACCGGTTTATACAGGTTATTGATTATTTGACTTATAAAGATTTATATGATGATGCTTTTTGAAATAAATACGATGTTCCAAATTCTAATCCCATTCAATAAAAGTTTATTATATTTTGCTTTCCGATTTTCTAAAAAATGTGTCACTTTTTCTTTTAATTAATTAATCAATTGATCAAACTTAGTGAACTTTTAAGGTACAGAAGAAATATTTAGAGTTAATTATCAAAATAGGACTAAAAGTCATTCACTTTTCACAAATAGGACCAAAAAATGAACTATGTTTGCATAGAACTAATTATGTGTACCTTGGACAATTATACCCTTATAGCTATTAAAATGTTTTAATTCCAAATAAAATAATAAAAAATAATAAAAAATCGTAAAAAATACTAAAAAATTAAGAAAAACATTTCGATATTAAAAATTTAATTATTTTTTTTTCAAAAAATTAAAAAAATTAAAAAAAAAATAAAAATAAAAAAACTCAAAAAAAAATCGCCGTCGCCTCAGCACCACCACTTCCAGTCACCAGGGGAAAAAATGCCAAGTTCATTACGAATGTCATATTTATGGCAGAAAAAAATGAAAATGTTGGCATTCGAAAAGAGAAATATGCCTCTTTTTTTGGCATTTTCAGAAAAAATGGCATTTTTTTGGGAAAATGGCATTTTTTCATCGGCCGGAGGTGGTGGTGCTGGGAGGTAGTACAGTCGGTGGGAAACGCATCCATATTTTTTTAAATTTTTTTACGGAGTTTTACTATATTTTATTAATTTTTTTTTAAAAAAAAATATTTAAAAAAAAAAGTTTTTGAATTTTTTATTTAATAAAAATTTTATAAATTTTTTAATTATATTTCTACGAAGTTTTGAATTTTTTTCGAATTTATTATGAATTAAACATTTAATTATGGCTTTTGACTATTTTTAATTCATATTTAATGGAAAGGTAAGAATGGAATGCAAAAATAGGTATGTTTCCAATAGGACTCATATGGTCCTATTTTGGAATAAAAACATAGCAAGTCCTATTTTAGATTTTTGCAATAGTTTTAGTCTTATTTAAACTAATTTCTAAATTATTTATGAACAACATTGAAACTTTGATTTTCAAATCTATTGTTAATTCGTACCTCTTTTTAATATTTTCAAATCTATTACCCAAAATTGTAAAAATATAGGGAGTACACTTTGTTTTGCACTCCATCTCCATTGCTATCTCCTTTGGACCCTTTGGTGAAAGGAGAAATTATAAATATATCAACTTTAATAATCAAATTTTATACTCCGTATTTCCAAAGGCTATATTCCTTAAAATTGAGTATTATACGAAGTATATTTGATGTCTATTAAAGAAATTAAAAAAAATATGGTTGATATAGAACCGGTTTGGTTATTCTATTTTTCGGCTTATCAGTTAACTTTTCACCAAACCCACAATTTATGATTTTCACGTGTTGAATTATGTAATAATAAGAAAAAGTAAGGTTGAAGTCATTTTCAGACTGTATTGGTTGAAGTTACGGTGGATGATCATTTTAGCTATTTTCAAATAATTTTTTCTTTATTTTATTAAAAAAATATACTTAAAAAACAATCTATTCATAAATCTGCAGAATCGGCTAATAAATCCGGTGTCAGTTCAGGCAGAACTTCGTAAATTTCGTAAAAGATTAGTTACCGGTGGGCGTAGCTCAACTGGTAGCAAGGGATTGCCACAAGGGTTAGGTCCCGGATTCGAATCCCGGCAATTACGAAGAGGGGTTACTATGCTAAAAATGCACAGGGCCTTTGCAAGTACCGGTGACAGAGCCTCACTCTCTATCTGTCAGATTGAGATTATAGTCCAATTTACATTCTGCCAACAAACCCTTCGAGGGTTGGGGTACTGAGGGATGAAGTGTGTTTTTTTCATAAAAGATTAGTTGACTTTTTTAGTTGTAAGATTTACTCGTATATACTCTAATTATTGAATTACTTTGGAGTTAATAATGGCGA